AGAGAGAGAGAAATAGCAATAGAGATGGTCATGATGCTTACCATAGCCTCCTTGTGATTATTTCAGAATGCTATGTGCCTACCAACGAACAAAACCTTACAATAAATTAAACATTACATATCGCATCAAAATCTATGCGTTCAATTTACTTTTAAAAATTATTAGGAGCAATCTCAAATGATTCAAACACGGACTATTATTCCAATAGACCAAGCATAGATACCTATTCATTGTGTATGTTATAGCACAGATTTTGATTCAGCGTATTCTCAGAAGGCGTGAGAAACGGCAATTTTACTGATCGTTTCCAAATAGTTACAAGATAAGCCGCATTTAAATTACGTATACAACAGCAATAGTTTCACGGTTGACTATGATTGTCACCGTCACAACTGCGACCTATGATCACAGCAGAATTTTTTTCTTAACGATAGCGCTCTAGTAAAAAATATTGAAAAGCGTGAAGTATTGTTGTAGGAATCAATTACGGGCTTATCTACATTCAAAACAACATACACTCAAATGTACAATATTCTATCATGGCCAACGTGCGTAAAAGTACTTTTTATTTTCAATAGAGAGCCTTGACTTCAATTATTTGTGCTGTATCGAACGACCACGGCGTTCGATTGAATACAATTGCGTAGTATATGGCATAGCACACGCGCTCTCTCTCTCCCTCTCTACTAAATATTTGGCCCTAAATGACGAGAGAGAGAGTCAGAAAAAGTGAAAATAAATAAAAATTCAACGTATTCCATGGTCAAGTGTTGTCCCTACCAACCATTATTCGATATCCAACATGATTTTATTTATATATATATTTTATCAAAATAAAAAATATACTGTGTAAATTTTGTATGCTATGGCAAAACGCATAAAAAAAAACTTCGCAGGTCCCACCGGCTGTGAACGAATCAAATGTTGGGCCCCAAAAAAAGTTTAGGCCCTCAGAGTCCAGACCCTTCGAACTTAGGTTCAGGGCAGGGCGTAGAGATTGCAAACATTCCCCGGCATAGGAATAAATAAATAAATAAAATAAAAACAGTTTGGATGGTAACATTTGTACGCACAAGACTCGAGACAAACGTAAGATTATATTCACGCGTAATCACATACACTGCGTAACAGTGAGACAGAGCTGATAACGATTTTGTATAATGCATAACGGCAACATGACGATACCTACGTATGGGAAGGAACACACCTGGAGTCAGAAGACCGTTGGAGGAACGTCCACAGGGCAGCAGTGCATAGTCTGCCATCAACTACAATTAAAATCTAAGAGATTCAGCTCTGGCTCTAAACAGGGCTGGGAGAAGATCGAGCCCTGCATTCAAGGTCGATCACACCACCAGTTCATTCCTTTCTTCAAAAACAGTGGGGTTGTACAGTGGTGTACTGAATGCTATATCGTTCGAGGGTACGGTAAGAAATTTGGATCGAACAAGTATGCAGGTTTCGAGAAGGTCTCTGAGATTTGCGGACCTTTGGATGAGAATCTTAAGGTGTACGTGGAGAAGGAGTTGATTGGGTGTGACTTACACGAGGAAGGCAGAATGGAAAGGTCATCTTCTCAAGACCAGGAGTCAGTTGACGAGGTAATATATATATATATATATATATATATATATGCACGCACACACACACACGCACACACACACCACACGCACACACACATTTATATATATATATGTATACGTAAAAATGATTGTTTGATTTCCTTTGGGATACCTATCGTCACACCTATTTTTGTATTCGACGATATTATATTCTTCTTGACGCATAATGTAACCAGATAGATATGCGGTGCATACGTAGTTGTGTGTGCAGACATATGATTTTGTTCTTAAGTATCGATATGCCTCTTGTTTAAGCACGTACCATACGTACACAGAGGGTGATATACATTCTGATTTGGAATTCGCTTCAAGTCGAAGATACACTACCATGGCATCATGCCGGGAAAAAATTTGGTGCGAGAAAAATATTGCGGTCCCTTCATGTGGGCGCAGTTGTCTTTAGATAAAAATACCTCGTATTGCAACTTGTATGTGATGCTTGCGTATTTCCCTTGTTGGGTACTCTATCGTTGATCCAGTACACATACCCATCACTTCGAAACATTGGATTACACATATAATCACAAGGTCATACAGACACACTGTCATAGCGGAAAGACCATTGGCAAAGGCAGTATCTGATGCAGTTAAATAGAACGGTCGACTCAGCGGACATCGTCCTATTTGACTGCACCGGGAATTGTCTTTCCCGCTGGCCGTTCCGTTGTGCTTGAGTATCTGAGTAGTAGTATGAGCATAAATGTCTATCTTTTTATCATGGCACCGGAAGTACACATAAGTATGTGTGTGTGAATATCCATGTACAGGCGACAGACAACCACTTTGGTACAACCGCTGACAAGGGCACTGTTTGATACGCTTGAAAAGGGCGATAGATGTAGTGAACATCGTCGTCTTTGAGCGCACCAGGTGTTGTC